GTTCTATGGCTGATTGGATCAATATAAACCTTTTTACATTTAAACAGTCAATATTATATTTTTTGATAAGTTTAAAAAAACAAATTATTAAGAAGAAAATGTATCATCGTTCACAAAAATAAAATAAAATAAATACAATTAAACCATTAACAAATAATAATAATAATAATGATAATAATAATACTCATATTACACCCGGACAAGAAAACAAAAGAATTTCTTAGTTGAGATGAGATTTGTTAAGGGAATTTTTTGACCAAGCTGTAGATGATTTGGCGTTGTATTTTCAGTGGACCAGTCGACACTGCCCCACAGTTGACCGAAGTCCACCCCGACGTAAGTCAGATTTCATTTCTAGTTTTTGTTATAAGATTATGTCCACACACAATGTCTTCCTACTGAGTTTTAAATCTTTAAAATAGTAAATATGTTTTAATCATCAACAATAATCATTGGCTCTTCAAAACAGCTGGAACGGGTCATGTTAACAATACATTTAATTATAACAAGACATGTAATTATAAAAAGACATGTAATTATAAAAAGACATGCAATTATAACAAGACATGCAGTTATAACAATACATGCAATTATAACAAGACATGCAATTATAACGAGATATGCAATTATAACAAGACATTCAATTATAACAACACATGCTATGATAACAGGAGGACATGTTATGAAAACAAGACATGTTATGATAGCAGGACGACATGTTATGAAAACAAGACATGTTATGATAACAGAACATGCAAATATAACAGGACGTGATATGATAACAGGACATGCAATAATAACAGGTCATGTTACGAATATTTCGTTTTTCTCAACCCCCCCCCCCCCCCTTTCCCCCCACCCCTTTTTTTTTTTTTTTNCCGCCTCGTTGTCTCATCAAGATGGCCTGGCCTTACTTTCGCTAGCACCCGCCTCGTTGTCTCATCAAGATGGCCTGGCCTTACTTTCGCTAGCACCCGCCTCGTTGTCTCATCAAGATGGCCTGGCCTTACTTTCGCTAGCACCCGCCTCGTTGTCTCATCAAGATGGCCTGGCCTTACTTTCGCTAGCACCCGCCTCGATAATAATCTCCTGCATCAGTGAACGTAATGCTGCTCTCAGCAATACAGTCGAGCTCATGCTGTCCAGTGCTATAAACTGTTCTAGACATAGCCCGCGGGACAATGGCGGTGGCGGTGCGTCACCTTCCCAGCTACTTAAGTTATTTGACAAACGCGGCATTTTAAAGCAACGCACTTTATCATAATCAGAATTAAAGCTAACTTTGGGGGAAGTTTATTTTGCGCACCCATTGAACACAGTGTTACAGAAGCACAGCATTACTGCCCTACATACAGCCATACATACAGCCATACAGACATGCCTAGAGAATAATTATTTGTCGAAGCTCTATGCCAACTTCAATCTATTTCGGTATAGATCAGTTCGCTGGTCTTACACATAAGTCACAAACTCACATTCGACCAATGGGAGCTCATCAGCTATTTTTAGCTTCCAAGAGTTTGAAGAAGTGGATGGTAAGGTTAACGGTCATTTTGAATCGCGTGCTTTAACAATATTCTGTTGGAGAACATTTCTATTGCTAGAAACTATGTCGCTAAGAGATTTCATAGACGTTCATAAGATCAGGGAGATATCATAGACGTTCATAAGATTCCGGGAGATATCATAGACGTTACTAAGATCTGGGAGATATCAAAGACGTTGCTGAGATCAGGGAGATATCAAAGACGTAACTAAGATTCCGGAAGATATCAAAGACGTTACTAAGACCAGGGAGATATCAAAGACTTTACTAAGATCAGGGAGATATCAAAGACGTTACTAAGATCAAGGAGATATCAAAGACGTTACTAAGATTCCGGAAGATGTCAAATACGTTACTAAGGTCAGGGAGATATCAAATTCGTTACTAAGATCAAAGAGATATCAAAGACGTTACTTAGATTTCGGAAGATATCAATGACGCTACTAACGTCAGGGAGATATTAAAGAAGCTACTAAGATTCGGGGAGATATCAAAGACGTTACTAAGATCCTGGGAGATATTAAAGAAGCTACTAAGATGCGGGAAGATATCATAGACGTTACTAAGATCCTGGGAGATATTAAAGAAGCTACTAAGATTTCGGGAGATATCAAAGACGTTACTAAGATCCTTGGAGATATTAAAGAAGCTACTAAGATGCGGGGAGATATCAAAGACGTTACTAAGATTCAGGGAGATATTAAAGAAGCTACTAAGATTCGGGGAGATATCATAGACGTTACTAAGATTCAGGGAGATATCAAGGCTGTTACCAAGATCAGGAAGATATCAAAGACGTTACTAAAATCAGGACGATATCAAAGACGTTACTAAGATTAGGAAGATATCAAAGACTTTACTAAGATCTGGGAGATATCAAATATGCTACTAAGATCAGTGAGATATCAAAGCTGTTACCAAGATCAGGAAGATATCAAAGACGTTACTAAGATCAGGAAGATATCAAAGACGTTACTAAGATCAGGAAGATATCAAATACGTTACTAAGATCAGGAAGATATCAAAGACATTACTAAGATCAGGAAGATATCAAAGAAGTTACTAAGATTTGGCAATATATTAAAAACATTTCAGAGCCAAACATTTCTCGCCCTAACACGGCTTGAGATTAGCTAATGTTAAGCTTCTGGATGTTAAAAATATAAACACATTGATCTCATTCTTTTAGCAAACATATCAATGAATCAATGTAATGAACTTTGCTACTTTGATTTCAGGTTCTTCAAAGCAGTGAGATGAGAATCCCTCCGTTGGCACGGCAACGCCGACAAAGTGGAGATGATATCTCACTGTTATGGAAACGCAAGGAATATTTTCAAACTACATGCACACCCTCCCAACAATGCTTAGATGATGTCAGATATAACATGACTCAGCTGACGTCAGATATGACATGGCTCAGATGATGTCAGATATAACATGACCCAGATGATGTCAGATATAACATGGCTCAGATAATGTCAGATCTAGCATGACTCAGATGATGTCAGATATAACATGGCTCAGATGATGTCAGACATAACATGACTCGAGTGATGTCAGATATAACATGGCTCAGATGATGTCAGATATAACATGGCTCAGATGATGTCAGATATAACATGGCTCAGATGATGTCAGATATTACATGGCTTGGATGATGTTAGATATAACAAGAGGAACTCAAGAACCAAAGAACACTATCCAACGTTAAACCTGGCAATCTTGCGTCGACATATTTCAAGCCCAAAGGAGGATTTCACAGCCTATACCCCACATACGATACTGCTTTGAAATCGTATTCGACACAACTCCTCGCCAACGGCTGTCGAAGACTCCACATACTTGCTTTGTAATCGTAATTGACACACCTCTCAGCCACCAACTATCGAAGACTCCACATACTTCTTTCAAATCGTAATCGACATAGCTTCTCACCAACAGCTATGGAAGACTCCACATACTTTCTTTGTAATCGTAATCGACATAGCTTCCCACACACAACTACCGAAGACCTCCCACATACTTGCTTTGAACTCGTAATCGAAGCAGTTTCTTGTCAGTGACTATGAAAGACACTATCTACAAGTGTGTATCATCAGATCCCATGTTTCACCAGACTTTGTTCCATGATCACCATGGAAACAATTTCTGCTTCAGCGTTGGATTGTATCGGCAAACGTCTAAACTTTGTAACACTGCTTGTGGACTCTGTTTTAGGTTTTTTGTGGATTAAATAAAAATGGAGGGGGTGGGGAGGTGGAGAAAATGAGATAAATAAAAAAATAAGCAGATGTAGGGCGCGCTCTTATTCCGTGACGCCCCCAGAAGTTATTTGAGACGCCAGTTTATCATGGCTACCTAGCTCCACTGAATTGTATCTTTGTTTGAGTTGTTGCACAGCTTGTCAAACGACTGGTTGTACATACATTGCACTTTATGTGAGACTAATAGTGGAGCGCAAAGGGACGCAATTTTTACTTACCATTTTTGTTGTTGTTGAGTTCTTGTCTTTGTTTGCTTTAGGGATGTGCAGTGGGGGGCGCATTACCTCCCTTGTTAAATACAAAAGAGCTCCTTACGTGATCCATTGGATGGAAATGTGACGTGTCAAAACAGGTGCCGGAAATAGGACGTGGAATGCATAAAGAGCACAGTGAGACACCAAAAGACACTGCTGGCCATCTACCGCGTCCTTGTCTAGCTGCCTGGACGAAGTCTCGCCACTGGATCAAACACGGCTTGGACGAGAGAGTGAGGCTGACGAACAGCGCAACTCAACCTCACTTTAATGTCAATAAAGCACGTGTCAGAGCTATTAACTCTAAGGGTCTGTTACGCTACTTGCGACCGCTTCGTCCACCTAGCGTATGCGAGGGCTATTACCTCTAGGTGGCGAAGTTAACCTTTTTGGGAACACTTATCTCTTTTTATAACTTCCTTCTTTAAGCACAAAAAAGTGCACATCAAGGACACAGCATGTAAAGCGATAAGGACACAACAAGGACACAACAATGATATAGCTAGGATACAGCAAGGAAACGCAAGGATAAAACAATGTCATAGAAAGGCCACTGCAAGGAAAAAGCAAGGACATATAGGAAACACAGCATGGAGGGACACTGCAAGGTCATGACAAGGACACAGCAATGACCCAACAAGGTCAAGGAAAGGTGCAACAAGGAAACAGCAAGGACAAAATAAAGACACAACAAGGACTCATCAAGGACACATCAAGGACAATAAGAATCGCCTCTAATCCACGTGCTCTTGTGTCTAATTTCGGGCCAACTTTCCAGGCACAATGGGACTGGCGCGCCAGCCGAGTACTCACCTTCGAAAATGACGTAGGCAATCTTCGCTTGCGAAGGACGAACATCTCCCTTGTGTTGAAGACCAATGGCACATCTGAGGAAAAAATCTGGTTTGGGGGGGGGGGGTAGGCAACAGGGGCAACAAAACAGATGAGAGCAGTACAAAAATGTGAAAGTAGCTATATGTTGATATTTTAAACATTTACATATTATATTTATATACATTTTTAACAGATACATTGCACAATTATACCCCTTTGTCACGTTTATATATAGATGTGTGTGTGTGGGAGTTTGTGTATTCAGACAAGTGACCCTCTTTAACAAAATATCACAGCAAAGTGTTCTTTCTATGGCTTAAATTTGTGACAGTGGTGTCAGATGATGTGACAGTTGTCTGAGATGTTGTGACAATGGTTTTTGATGCTGTGACACGTTGTTTTTTTTGCATTTGACAGTGGCTTCACATGTGGTTGTACACATTGAGAAGGCGCCTTTAGATGTTGGTATGCTGGTTTCATCAGGACAGCACATACCCCTTCTGGGCATTTTATCGCTTTCCGTATGCGCATAAAGCTTTGTGGTGTAACTTCTCATTTCCCAGTGCCTGATTTGTACTATAATCAACCTCGCATTGTGTCTGGACTGGACACAACCTGTGGCTTATCGACAATGTTGAAACTAAACGCACGTTTTAACAGGGTGGATAATTATTATTAATTAATTAGGTCTCTTATTGGGCAGTCGGTGTTTATTATGCTCCCCCAGAAGTCACAAATCTCAATGAGATAAGTCCCTGGTATGGCTAAGAGAATTCACTGAATGGCTGTTTTTTTCACTAATAGATGTCTTGTGTTCAAACTGTTATATTTATGTGCTGAAAATGTACGATGGAATCAAAAGGAATTTCCATTTTTTTGTATCAATAAAAGAATCTTATCTTATCTTATTTGAGAAGCCTTGAACTTTACCCTCTAACGAATATAGTTCAGGGGTTTACGTGGAGGGTGGGGCATACGTAATAAATAGTTTGAGCCTCACTGCTACTGGTAAAATGTATGAGGTGGGCGGCCTTCATGAATAATTTGGCATTAGTTTATCTGTCAGGGGCCGTTTCGTGTATGCAAGGGGAGGCAATCAATAATCTAAGACTAATTATGACGCTTTGACGTAGAATCCAAGACATAATTGGAATTTGCTATGTGTCTTACTGTGTGTCTTATGGTGTATCTTACTGCGTGTCTTACGGTGTGTGTTGCGGTGTGTCTTACTGTGTGTCTAACGGCAGGTCTTATGGTGTGTTTTATGATGTGTCTTACGGTGTGTCTTACGGTAGGTCTTATGATGTGTCTTACGGTGTGTCTTATGGTGTGTCTGAAATTGTTAACGGTATGGTTTAGTGGCCCAAATGTAAGCCTTGAAACTCAGTTTAAAATGTATGTTAAAAATTGATACAAGACTTTGAACAGTTTAACTATTTCTTTCATTATTTCCTATAATAATAATTTTAAAAAAAAAATCATTTGACTGCTTCGATCTATCATTTTAAATCTAACATTTGACGCTATTCATGAATAAAGAGGCCCCAACATGACAGCTTTAGCTAATAATTACATCTGATTAAAGGCCTCGGTACGACAGCTTTTAGTTAATAAGTACAACTGGTGAAAGGCCTTGGTACGACAGCTTTAGCTTTAGCTAATAAGTTCATCTGATTAAAGGCCTCGCTTGACAGCTTTAGCTAAGTAAGCACATCTGGTGAAAGGCTTCGGTATGACAGCTTTAGCTTTAGCTAATAAGTTCATCTGATTAAAGGCCTCGCTTGACAGCTTTAGCTAAGTAAGCACATCTGGTGAAAGGCTTCGGTATGACAGCTTTAGCTTTAGCTAATAAGTACATCTGATTAAAGGCCTCGCTTGACAGCTTTAGCTAAATAAGCACATCTGGTGAAAGGCCTCGGTATGACAGCTTTAGCTAATAAGTTCATCTGATTAAAGGCCTCGCTTGACAGCTTTAGCTAAATAAGCACATCTGGTGAAAGGCCTCGGCATGACAGCTTTAGCTAATAAGTACATCTGTGTGCTGAGCGCACACACTTTGTGTTCAAATCCACGGCTGGATGGTGTTCTGTGTCTGGGTGGTGTTGTTTTTTCCTCAAGAAAATAGATTTTTTTTACAATAACAATGTGAATGATGAATGGCTTTGCTAGGCTTCCATTGTTCTCAGCCTCAAAAGATCTCACGTTACGCCATTACCGCGTCTTGTTCACACATAATGTTATTACTATCTCATCACCCATAATGGCATTACTGCGTCGTCATCACACATAATGTTATTACTGTGTCATCACCCTAATGGCATTACTGCGTCTTGTTCACACATAATGTTATTACTGTGTCATCACCCATAATGGCATTACTGCGTCTTGTTCACACATAATGTTATTACTGTGTCATCACCCATAATGGCATTACTGCGTCGTCATCACACATAATGGCATTACTGTGTCATCACCCATAATAGCATTACTGCGTCGTCATCACACATAATGCTATTTCTGTGTCATCACCCATAATGCCATGACTGTGTCGTCATCACACATAATGTCATTACTCTGGTGTCTTTTTGCTGCTGCTTATATATATATATATATTTACTAACTAGCCAGCCAATCAATGCTGTTTGTGACTTCTGTCCCCCCCCCCTCCCTTTCCCGCTCCCCTTCGCTATGCCTCTGTATACTGTATGGTTTATATTCTTTCATTATCGTCATCTGTCGGCATCTTGATCCAGCAGCCATTTTGGCCATGCGCACTTCGACCTATTTGTATATTCTTTGATTACTAAATGTTCATGTTTGAAAAACTATACATGAATCTTTTGATTAAAATTTTAAATGTTCATCATCGTATGTCCACATATGATTACACCCGTGAGAGGTCAGTGTGCCATATAAGTTGTTCATGAACTTTTTTAAAACTCAGCTTGTCTATTTTCCCTTATTAAATAAAAAAAATATATATATAAATTTTACTATTATAATAAAATTGGCTTGTGGTGTTGACTGCTTCATTGAAATATTTTTTACGGGAAACAGAGATTGATAGAGAGAGAGAGAGAGAGAGAGAGAGAGAAAGAGAGAGGGATAGGGAGAAGGAGAGAGTGGGGTCAGAGCGGTCTTTACCCGACAAACACTTGGAGATAGGGAGAGGGTCAGAAAGCCGGAGATGGTTAGCGAGCGGTGAGGATCATAGAGGAGGGTGCAGAGAGGTAGGGTGAGTCAGAGAGAAGGGCACAAAAAGGTAGGGTGAGTCTGAGAGAAGTGCACAGAGATCTTGGGTTGAGTCAGAGAGAAGGGCACAGAGAGTCAAAGAGAAAGAGAGACAAACATACAGAGGGACATACACACATAGACACGGAAAAACATACATAGAGATTCGGACACACATACTAAAAAAGAGACGCAGACACACAGATACATACACAGACAAATTTACAGACACTTACATGGACACATATATGGGCACACAAAGACACACACCGACACACAGAGACAGAAAGGCGGTATTACAACAGTCTGTCTATCTCATTGGAATTGAAAGCCTCACAACAAGTGGCTATCACTCTTCTACTAAAAGAATCAATCCTACGGAGTATGTACTGAGAACAAAGTAATTACCTTCATGAAAGTATGTACTGAGTACAATGTAGATATCTTCATGAGAGTATGTACTCAGTACAAGGTAAGCAGATTCATGAGAGTACGTACTCCGTACAATGTAAGCAGATTCATGAGAGTATGTACTCAGTACAGCCTAAGTATATTCATGAGAGTATGTACTCAGTACAATGTAAGCAGATGCATGAGAGTACGTACTCAGTACAGTCTAAGTATAGTCATGAAGAGTATGTACTCAGTACGATGTAAGCAGATTCATGTAAATGACACTTAAAACTTAAACATAGTCGGCGCCTGTCTTTATTTGATCAAGGGAAATTACTCTTTATTTAATGGTACAGTATTAAGGGGCGTAATAAGGGAAGTGTGTAAAACAAATACCGTCTTGAATCAAGGGATGGAGAAGTCAAAATGAATGAGAAGACATCATGAGAAATTGAATACTGAATTGAACACAGAATTGAATATAGAATTAAATATATTTCCTATGGCTTACTATTGAGTTTTTGTCAAGTCTTAAGCTGTTCCTATGGTATTTATTTTTAAAAAATTCACTGTTCACTTTTAAATAGCGAATGGTAACTCAATTAATAACTTCAAAAATTAACTTTTGTAGAGTTATCTCCCTTTTAACTCTAATGAAGAAGAAAATAAAGGGGGCGGGGGAGTCATGGATCAAGTAAATTTGGAGGGTAGACGTGGCACGGGAGGTCATGTTTCACTAACTGGGCCCTCCTCCCCCAGGAGGGGAGGGGAATGACCTCCTAATGAGGGGTAACCATTCATTAGATTACTTCCCCTAAGACCTGCAGTAAGAACTCTTTTATAAGAGCATTAAGACATGGCTAAAACATGACCGACTCCAGCGACGTCACTGACGTCACTGACTCCACTAGTTCTCCCGACTCCACTAGCTCTCCCGACTCCACTAGCTCTCCCGACTCCACTAGCTTCCCGACTCCTCTAGCTCTCCCAACTTCACCGACTCCATGAAATTCACCCCCGCATATCAAGCGCATCATATTTGGTGTCTAGTAAATGATACTATTTGGTGTCTAGTAAATGATACTACTTGTTTTCTAGTAAATGATACTATTTGGTGTCTAGTAAATGATACTATTTTGTGTCTAGTAAATGATACTATTTGGTGTCTAGTAAATGATACTATTTGGTGTCTAGTAAATGATACTATTTTGGTCTCGTACATGATTATAATTGTGTCTAGTATATGATACTACTTGTGTCTGTTAAAGGATACTATTTGTTTTCTAGCAATTGTTACGATTTTACAAGATTAAGTGGTTTACAATTATTTGACCTAATAGATTTTTGGCATTATATTTTGTTTTTGTCTTTTGCATACGAAAGCAACTAATACTGTATTCGAATCCGACCAATGCTGTACTAGCAGATAACCAAGGCTGTATGCGACACAAAGCCGCAGCTAAGGTTAGAGCCACTCGGGGTGGGCTAAGTTTTTTGGCCCCCTCCCTGCAAATTTTTTCTTAAGTTGGTTGAATGTGCCGTGCATAAATATATATTAAAAAACTGCCACCCGGGGCGGAACCCCCCCCTCCCCTTTTTCATATTACACCCTTCCTACGCCACTGACTCGATGGTATGCCCGCTGAGCTAAAACATTTCAGATCGAAACTTTAGCAATTTTCACGAGAGTAGCCTAAAAGTTTGGCACGAAGGCACATCTCTAACTGGTTTAAGACACATCGAATTTCTGAGCAGCCGACAGCGTACCAACACGTAATAATGTATTTTTATTTAGTTCGATGCTTCTCAAACTGTTGGTCCGAGCATCTGTGACGGTCCGCGAACCAGTCCATTACATTTTAATAGGGGCTCCAAGATAGATCAATATTTTTTTTTCTAAATTAGCATCTAGACCGGGCTGAAATGTGGGAACCACTGGTCTAGTGACGGACTACTTTTTCATGTGTGTCTAGAATGAAAAAAAAATCACAAAATAGTTTTTTCAGAATGTTCACAGGTGGTACCTAATAGAAGCTGATTGAGTATGTCATTGCTTGTCTTTAATGAAATAAATGGGTGAGCACTTTGAGACAATCCTGAACCAACCAAGAGTTGTGTGTGTTGAAAGTGTTCACTCACAGCAAAGACAAATGTCTGTGCCAGTTGACATTTGAGTCACGTAAGCAAGAATTACATCAAAAACTATGTCAAAGAAATCATTCTATTCTTTTGATATATTGTGCCATAAAAGTAATTCATGAACTTGTTTGTCATTTATACCACTAATATGTTTATATCATATACGTTTTATTAAAAAAAATTCACTTTAACAAATTTAAAAAAAAAAATTAATGAAAAATATGCGTGTCCACTAATTGTCCGTAACTCAGCGAATGACTTAAGTCTTAAGAGATGGGAGTCGATCAATTAGGTATTAGGTTATGTTGACTCTCAGATTGTCCCCTTATTTTTAGCCCCAGCAAATCACTAAAGAACTATGGACCCTCATCTGAGCTGTTGTTTTAATTTGTCCCACTGAATGTTTCTCAGGAAAATCCAGGCACCTCAACGCTATAGAGAAACACAAAATAAACACCCCTGTAGAAATAACCTTTAAAATCAAAGTTTTTCATATAAATCCTTTATAAACGGTAATATCGAGCATGAGGGTGGTGGCTGCGAGAATGAGGGGGGGGGGCTGAAATTTTGACAAAACATGCATTCAAGTAACGCACTTTATAAGAAACTCGATTAGTGTTCGCCCCCCCCCCCGTCTATAAAGGCTCGCAATCGCACATTTTTGTCACGCCCCTGAACTCTATTAATAGTCTAACTCCCACTGTCTTTCACGCCCCTGAACTCTATTAATAGTCTAACTCCCACTGTCTTTCACGCTCCTGAACTTTATTAATAGTCTAACTCCCACTGTCTTTCACGCTCCTGAACTTTATTAATAGTCTAACTCCCACTGTCTTTCACGCTCCTGAACTTTATTAATAGTCTAACTCCCACCGTCTTTCACGCCCCTGAACTCTATTAATAGTCTAACTCCCACCGCCTTTCACGCCCCTGAACTCTATTAATAGTCTAACTCCCACCGCCTTTCACGCCCCTGAACTCTATTAATAGTCTAACTCCCACCGTCTTTCACGCCCCTGAACTCTATTAATAG